ACGCAGACTTAGAAGGAGGTAGTGATGAGGATAATAATATTGCAGTCTTACGTAATGGTGTGCCCGTGTGTGTGAAGTGGGGGCAGCGATGTGGACTCAGAAGGAGGTAGTGAAGCCTGAGTTGAAAATATTTTGTGACTGTAACTTCATTTAGCTTTACAAGGCAGGCACAGAGAGGTGAAGTGACTTCTGTAAGGTGGCCTCACTGGGAAGGAGGAGAAGTATGCTTTGAAAGCAAAGTGCATACTATGGACCCTGCCACCTTACTGCCAGTCATCATCTCACCTTCTGACCTAGCCTCCTGCCTCCTAATCTTGTAAACTGAATTAAAAGCCATGGTTTCATTCCACCTAACTGGCTCCAGATGGCTGTCTCTAGGAATTATTAAATAGAGATGATGGTGGCTTTTAGTTCCTGATCTCAGAAAGCAAAGATGTAAGTCAGTGTGTCTATCCAAACTTTATTACAGATGTCAGGTAGACCTGAATTTAGCTCGCAGACCTGACAGCTTTCCTTGAGCCATGTGTGGACCTTCCTGAAGTTTGGACCATGAAAGAGTGCTCAATTTCTGGGCAACTGGCTTTTGGGGAGCTGGGGATGAGTAGTAAAAGGGTTTGTTGTTGCTGTTGTTCATCAAAGGAGAATTCCAGCACTTGGTTTTACTAGTTTCTCTATTAGAAGCTAAGCGGTGAACAGACCAGAGAAGAAACAAAAGTTGAAGTTCAGCAGCAATGATCCCTTTGGGACAAAGGAAATCGAACCCAAAGGGTAAGAGATGGAATGAGAGTCTTACCTTTCAGCACTGTTGGCAGGCAAGCAGCAGGAAGGGCAGGACCAGTGGTAGCCGGTGAGAGCCACGTTGCCAGTAAAGGTTCAGAGAGAATATGAAACGAATTAAGTCATCCTTGGTACTTCATTGTACCCCATAGGTCCTGAGATGGGTTAGGGAACCGGAATGGGGGTCTGCAATCCATTCTAAGTGGATCGGACCCCTTTGGAGGCACATTTGCCCTGAAGTCAGAAGTTTCAGGGGTACCAGTAGCCTAGGGAATCCAAGCCCTCCTTTCTCCACCTGAACTTCTAGCATAAGGCGGGTCTCCATAATAACCACGTGTCATCTCCATTTCTTAGCTGGAGACCTGCATGTTAATTCTGGGAAAGGAAGAAGTCTTACCCACCCTGTACCATATTTTTCTCATCTAAAACCCACCAACAAATACATACAATCTAATCCAGGTGTACATTCTAGAGCAGAGGTTCCTAGACTGTGTTAGTTAGGTCATTGGTCCTTCTGAAAATCTGATCAAAGCCGTATTCCGAGAACACCACACAGGTTCTCTTTCTCTCTGACGGCACACCCAGCTTTAGACCTGATGACAAAGGCTTGTTGGCCTCCTAGAAGTCCTTCCAGGTGCACCCCTCCTCCCCACTGCAACCTGCAGGTTCTGGAGGAAGAGGCCATGTTTGCATTGCGGGCATCTGAATCTGCTCAGGTTGAAGGTGACAGTGGTTGTGCCTCTCCCTTTCATTCCCTTTTTTCCCTAGGTTGAAGGGCTCCCCGTTTGTGTAGGGAGAAGGAGACGTGACTTACAGTTGACTGGAACGGGCAGCAGAGCCAGGAGCCAGTGAATCAACATGGAAAATGCAAAGAAGAGAGTAGGGTTAATACTAATATCATCCATCCCTGTTAATTTTCACATGCATTTCTTTGTTCCTTCATGGAACATTTATTTGCCTGTTGTTATACGAAGGGGAACCTTTATATGGGACACGATTTTTATGTAGTTTGTCATATAGATTTGACAAAGATCAATACAGCAATAGCACTGTAGTGGCATGAGTGTTGGAAACCCTTTAACTTTGCAGTTTCAGAAATTAATCTTACAAATATATATTTATATAAACATATACATGTGTATGTGTATACACGCACACACACAGTTGACGCTTGACCAACACAGGTTTGAACTGCATGGTCACGCTTATGCTTATCCACTTATATGTGAATTTTCTTCTGCCTCTGTCACTCGAGACAGAAAGACCAACCCCTGCCCTTCCTCCTTCTGCTCAGCCTACTCAGTGTGAGGATGACAAGGATGAAGACCTTTATAATGATCCACTTCCACTTAATGAGTAGTAAACATATTTTCTCTTTCTTAATAACATTTTCTTTTCTCTAGCTTACTTTATTGTAAGAATCAGCATGTAATATATGTAACTTACAAAATATGTGTTAATCTACTGTTGATGTTATTGGCAAATCTTCTGGTCAACAGTAGGCTGTTGGTAGTTAAGTTTTGGGGAAGTCAAAAGTTATACGTGAATTTTCAACTGCGCTGGAGATTGGTGCTCCTCACTCTCACATTGATCAAGGGTGAAATGTGTATGTTATGGTTTGAGCGTGTCCCCCAAATAGCATGTGCTGGACACTTAATCCAAAATGCAACAGTGTTGGGAGGTGGGGCCTAATGGGAGGTATTTACATCACGAGGGCTCAACTCTCAGGGATAGACTAATGCTGATTATAGAGGGGCTTGAAGCTTTGAGCTCGCTTGTGAGCTTGCTCTCTCTCACAGGATGTCCTTCCATCACAGGATGGCACAGAAGGCTCTTACAAGATGCCAACCCCTCAGTCTTGGATTTCCCAGCCTCCAGAACATAAGCCAGTAAATTTCTATTCATTATAAATTTTCCAATCTCAGGTTGTTATGGCAGCCCAAAACAGACTAAGACAGTAGTTATATAGAGATGATAAATATGTATCTACATAGAGATATAATTCTACGTATATCCATACATAATCCTACAGATATAAATATATAGATCTACATTGATATATATCCCATATATCTAATTTAATGTAAGCTGAATTTTTCTCTGAAGCATTGTTTAAAAGAGCAAACTGCCAGAAACAACCTGAGTGGCCATTAGTATGTGACTGGACAAATAAATTATGGACTTCTATACAATAAATATTATGCAGCCAAAAACATATAAGTAGGATTTGAGGATGCTCCTTATGAACTGACATAGAGTCATCTTCAGGAAGTATTATCAGGAGAAAAAAGTAAGGTGCATACAGAACAGTGTGTGTAATATGCTGTCTTTTTTGTAAAAATAGAAACAAGAAGACTTTGAACATGTAAATACATATTTGTTTCTACTTGTATAAAATATCTCTGGAAGGATCTGGAAGAAATAGTTAATATCAGATTCTTTTGGGGAAGGGAAATGAGTGAATAGGTTGGAAAGGAATTTTTTTCCAGTATAACCTTCAGAACTTCTTGAATTCTGAACCCTGGACATCTTATTTTAAATGAAAATAACATGATGTTTTAAATCAAATATTTAATTAGTAATTTGAATGTAATTAATGTTTATTTTAATTAATTTAAATATTAATAAAATGATTTAACATAAAACAAAACATTTAAATTAAAACAGCATAATATTTTAAATTGAAACATAAAGTGTAGATCGTGAGATGTTTGCATGTGTCTAGGTTTAGAAAGTTCAGCTTTCGAAGACAGGAAGGAACTCACATAGGCTAGCTTTTTAGGTATAAAAAACCCAAAATCTGATCTGCAGGCATTTTAGCTCACCAGGTCTGGTGTGGGGATTACATATTTTTTAAGTTTCCAAAGTGATTCTCATGATGATGGTTCTGTGAGGATTCAGAGCTTTGGAAACTTCAGACCCAGTGTGGACACTTACTACTTTGAAAATTAAATCGCATGACATATTTTAAATTCTCAGTGCATGCTAGATGCTTAATTAATTCATGTTGGTTCCTTTTATCTCCTTTCGAGCTGAAATAATTAACACTAACTTATATTTTCACAGTGCTTTCCATTTTGCAAACCTCTTTGCATTTATTTAGTCCTGCTGAGAGCTAGGAATTTTGCTAGGCTATAGAAATAAACAGAGGAATAAAATACAGTCCCTGCCCTTTAGGAACTTAGGGTCCTGCAGTCTCATCAGGGTGGAAAAAAGAGCTCTTTTTCCCTTCCATATGACTTGGAGCAGAAATCCTCAGAGTATCATCCAAAGACCACTTGGTGGGGGTGCGAGATGGTCCCTGAGACCCTTTCTGGGGATGTGATGGTTGATCTGGGGTGTCAACTTGACTAAGAGGTACCCACAGAGCTGGTAAGACATTTTTTTTTTCTTGGCTGCTATAACAAAATATACATATTTATTCTCAGTGCTTCAGTAGGCACAGGGTCCATCCGTCTGCTGAAAGGGAAGCCCTAGTGGTCTGGCAGTTGATGAGAATGACTGGGCTGCCCTGGGTGTGTCTGTGAAGGTGTTTCTGGAGGATGTTGGTGTGTGAGTTGGAAGACTGGGTGGGGAAGATCCACCCTCCTGGTGGGTGAGCACCATCCAATTGAATGGAGGCCCAGATGAAGCAAAGAGGTAGAGTAAGGGTCAATTCTTGCCCTCCCTTCTGCAGCTGGGACGCCCTTCTCCTGGCCCTGGACGTCAGAACTCCAGGTGTTCCAGCCTTTGGGATTCTAGGACTTGGGCAAGCAGGCCCCTGAGCTCCCAGGCCATTGGCCTCAGAATGTGACAGACTATCCGTCAGCTTCCTTGGTTCTGAGGCCTTCAGACTTGGCCTGAGCCACCCTACCGGCTCTCCTGGTTCTCCAGCTTACAGACCCCACAACTGCATGTGCAAATTCCCCTAACAAATCCATCCTCAAATATCAACATCTATATCTGTATGTATCTCTCCATCTTCATGATTCTGTTTCTGGAGAACTCTGCCTGAAACAGGGGTCTGCATGATCTTCCCTTTTCCAACTCCTTATCTGCGTGAGAGTAGGTTTTCATTTGCTTCAACCAAAATAGCATATTGTGGCAGGGCGGGGCAGCTCACACCTGTAATCCCAGCACTTTGGGAGGCCAGGGCGGGCAGATCACTTTAGGTCAGGAGTTTAAAACCAGCCTGGCCAACATGGTGAAACCTTGTCTCTCCTAATTATACAAAAATTAGCCAGGCATGGTGGCATGCACCTGTAATCCAGCTACGCGGGAGGCTGAGGCAAGATAACTGTTTGAACCCAGGAGGCAGCTGTTGCGGTGAGCCAAGACTTTGCCACTGCGCTCCAGCCATGGTGACAGAGCAAGACTGTGTCTCCAAAATAAACAAATACATACAATATTTTTAAACATAGCACATTGTGACAGACTGAAGCAGAAATGAGAATTCAGCTGTTTTTTATTAAACTAGACATGAAAGAGATTTGCAAAAATGTAAAATAATACCTTTCTTCTCACTAAACTTTTTCAGTTTGGAAACAAATGGCCATTTCACTGAAACATTTTATTTATGTCAATATGTGTATTTATTATCTTTATTTTTAAAATATTTTTAATTTCCTGGCCGGGTACAGTGGTTCACACCTGTAATCCCAGCACTTTGGGAGGCTGAGGTAGGCGAATCATCTGAGGTCAAGAGATCAAGACCATCCTGGCCAACACGGTGAAACCCTGTCTCTACTAAAAATACAAAAATCAGCTGGATGTGGTGATGCACGCCTGTAATACCAGCTACTCAGGAGGCTGAGACAGGAGAATCACTTGAACCTGGGAGGTGGCAGTTGCTATGAGCTGAGATTGCACCTTAGCACTTCAGCATGGGCGAAGTAAGACTTTGTGTCAAAAAAAAAATTTAATTTCGATAGCTTTAGGGGTACATGTGTTTTTGGGGACGTGGATGAGTTGTGTAGCGGTGAAGTCTGGGATTTTAGTGCACCATCACCTGTGTTAGGTACATTGTGTCCAATAGGTAGTTTTCATCCCTCACCTCCCTGCCACCCTCCTTCCTTCTGAGTCTCTATTATCCTTATTTTTTAATGAAGTAATAGGTATTTTAATAATAGCTTTACTGATATATAATTCACATACCATGCAGTTCACCCATTTCAGTGGTTTGTAGCATACTGAGACTTGTGCACCCATCACTACACTAAATTTAGAGCTTTTAATCACCCCAAAATAAACCCTGCACCCCTTAGTCATTGTCCCTAAATTCCCCCACCCCTCTCCCCCTGGAAATCACTAACAGACAATGTGTCTCTGTGGATTCTGCCTATCTTGAATATTTCATATACAGTAAACGGAATCAGGTAATATGTGATCGTTTATCACTGGCATCTTTCACTTAGAATAATGTTTTCAGGGCTCACACATGTTGAATGCATCAGAACTTTGTTTCTTTTTATGGATGAATAATATTCCATTGTATGCATGGAGCACATTTTGTTTATCCATTCATTAATTGACGCACACCAGAATAATTTCCACGTTCTAGCTCTTATGAATAGTGCTGCTACGGACATTTGTGCACAGGTTTTTGTGCGAACTTACATTTCATTTATCTTGGGCACATACCTAGAGTGGAATTGCTGAGTAACTCAGTGTTTAACATTTTGAGGCACTGCCGGACTGTTTTCCAAAGCTGCTGTATCATTCCACATTCCCACCCGAAGCATATGAGGGTTCTAATTTCTCCGCCCTAGTAAGCGTGACGTGGTACCTCACTGTGGCTTCGGCTTCCATTTTCCTGATGGCTAATGATGTGGAGCATCTTTTTATGTGCTTATTGGCCATTTGTATATATAAATATTTTTATGTTAAAAATCTTGAATTTATAATAAGGTTAATATCAATAAAGAAAACCCTCACTGGAAAAAAAAAAAAAAAAGAGCTCTTTCAAGTTTTTAGCCTGTTCAGAGGCCCTAAGACCATAAAGTTTGCAAACCACCAGCTGGTGTTAAATATAAGTCAAGGTGTTATTCTAATGGAGATCTGCCTGGCACTTCTCTTCCCTGATGAGTGCTCTTCATTTTCCTAGTGAGCCTCTCTTCCCCAGACCAAGGAATGAAGGAGCGCTGCCCTTTTAGTTGTAAGACAACAACAGAAAGGCGGTTTGCTTTCCTGAGTCATGCCCAGACCCCATGGCAAGTCTGTGCACCAGATCCAAGTCCCACCCTTCCCCAGAATTGCCAGAGAGATTGCAAGATCCAAAACAATTTTAGGGGAGGTAGCTATGAAAATACAGACTTGGGGGGTCCCACATTTCTTACTTTTTTCTTTAGTTGCAACTGGAGACGAAGGCATTCAGCCAGCCGGTTCACAGCAGGATCAGGGAGTAGAGAGCAGAGAGAGAAGTCAGCATTAGACTCAGATCACTGCAGGAACCAAGGGGGCCAGAGACAGATGTGTCCCTGGAGACCAGCTGACCCACCCACTGCTATCGATAAGGCTACTCGGGCCCATCTGTCAGCCTATCCATCCATCTGTACATCCATTCAATCATCCTGCATCCAACCAACATTCACATGGTACACACTCTCAGCATTGGCCTATGTTGGGTACTGGAGACACAGATAAATCAGATTCAGCCCCTGCTGTGTAGGTGTTTGCAAGGCTGACTAGAAAGAAGTTCTGGTATAAGAGTACACTAGACATCCCAAACTATGTTCTCATGGAGCTTGCTGTCTCTGGATGTCCCAAACAAGCTTAACCTGTTCAAAACACACTCCTGTCTATCAAAAAATCATCTGTTAGTACAATACGTTTTATTATTATTTATTTATTTGTTTTTTGCAGAGATGAGTGTCACTATGTTGCCCAGGCTGGTCTCAACCTTCTGGCCTCAAGTGATCCTCCTGCCTTGGTCTCCCAAAGTACTAGAATTAAAGGCTTGAGCCACTGCTCCCAGCCAACAAATATCCCTGAGTTTACACTGATATAAACAAATACAATACTTGAATAAATAAATGGGGAAGAAAAGAAAGCTTTTCCTTACAGAAAAATTCCATCGAATCTATGTAAAAGGAACAAAGGGTGTAGATAATCACCATTAGAAAAACACTGTAGCAATCATTTCTGCAAGCAAGATCCGCAGATGTATGCCAAAGTTAGTGGGCAAACATTGGAGGAGAAACAGCGTATTTGCATAACCTCGAAATTTCTCCCCCAGCACATTTAGTAACTACAAAGGGGAAAATAATAACAACAGTGGAGAAGCCGGGCAGACACCACCTTAGCCAAGTGACTAAAGTTAACACCATGAGTAATAAGACACATCAACATCATGCGATCCCTGATATAATTCCCTGAAAATGGTATGAGACCACTTCTGCAGTATTCCCGCCCCAAATGCATAGTCGCAGTCCCATCATGAGAAAGCCTCAGACAAACCCAAATTGACAGACATTCTGCAAAACAACTGATCAGATCTCTTCAAATGTTTCAAGGTCATGAAAGACAAAGATTGAGGAAGTTCAACCACACGTTCTAAGGACACATCCCCAGACCAAAGGAGATGGGATAACAGAATGCCCCATGGTTGAGCAAGAGCTGGATTTCACGCAAAAAAAAAATTTTATTTGAAAATACGAGGTGGGATTCTGGATTGAATCCTCAAATAGAATAGTGTTTCTATTAATAGAAAAATTAGTAAAATTTGCATAAGTCTGTAATTTCTTTGTTTTGTTCTGATGTTAGGTCTCTGTTTTTATCATTGCGCTTTGATTAGGTTAGATGTTAAATCGCTGAGATAACTGGGTGAAGACTATTCAGAAAGTCAATTTTTGTGACTTTTCTATAAGTCTAAAGTGATTTCAAAATAAAAATTTTTTTTTAATGTGTTGCCCTACAGAGTTTTGTTTTCTTTTGAGTCTTGCTCTGTCGCCCAGGCTGGAGTGCAGTGGTGTGATCTTAGCTCACTGCAACCTCCATCACCTGAGTTCAAGTGATTCTTCTGCCTCAGCCTCCCTGAGCAGCTGAGACTATAGGCACCCACCACCATGCCCGGCTAATTTTTGTATTTTTAGTGGTGACAAGGTTTTGCCATGTTGGCCAGGCTGGTCTTGAACTCCTGACCTCAGGTGATCTGCCTGCCTCAGCCTTCCAAAGTGCTGGGATTACAGGCGTGAGCCACTGCGCCTGGCCTCTACAGAGTTTTCTCATCTCGGTTAAGGGCATCCTCAATTACCCAGCTGCAAATACATTTATGTATCGAGAGAGCGTTTCTGTACGCTTCTCTTTCTCTAACTGCCAGCATCTGACCCATCACTGAATCCTGTAAGCTCTTTCCTCAATGTCACATCACCTTTCACTCATCCCCATCTTCACCCTGCTGACCAAAACATTTTCTAACTTGTGTGTTTGCCCCTACTCTGATTCCTACCAAATCCATTCTTTCCTGAGGGGCAAGACAGATTATTTTAAACAAACACACACACACACACACACGCGCGCGCACACACACACACGCAAACACTCTTAAATATGACACTGTTTTGCTGAAAACCTTTTAACAGCTTCCTTTTCCCTTCAGATAACACCCAAAATCATTCATGTGACCCACATGCCTCTGTCTATTCTGTTTCCTGCCTCCTCTCTCTTACTTGTAACAATCCTTCCGCCATGCCCCTCCCTCTGTCTGCCATGTTCCTGACACACCATCTTCTCTCTAATGAAAGGACTCGGTGCCTTCTGCCCCAGGACCTTTGCATATGCAAGTCTCCCTGCCTAGAATAGTCTCTCCTAACTCTTCAGCTGGCCAGCTCCTATTCCTCACCTCAGATGTAACTTTTCTAGAGAGGCCTTTCCTGAATCCCCACACTAGAATGTGTTTAGGGTGGGAGTTCCATGAAGACAGGAGTATTTCTGTCTTTCTTAACACTGTATTCCCAGCATCAAGCATGTGGAAAGAACCAGGAGTAAACATTTGTGGATCAAATGAGGAACGAGGAACTCAGTGTTGTGACAAGACTCAAGTCCTCTTCCTGGTATACTCCTTTACATTGCAAAGGTCTGGAGTCTCACTAGAACTATCTAACCACAGTGAGGTTAACTTCCAGACACTGCACAACATGAGCTCATCAATGACGTGCAACAGTCCCGTGGACTGGGGGTTCTTGCGGGCCCCATTGGTCAGATGAGGACAGCAAGGCTTGCAGAAGCAATGTCCCTCCAAAGTCACAAAGAATGGGTGAATAAAAACCAGGATGCAGACACAAGTCTATCTCCAAGGACAGGGGCTAGCAACCTAGACTCATTCACCCCACCGTGTCCATCAGGGAAAATATGAATATCTAAATACAGAAGCAAGAAGAAGTCCGTTAGACTTCAGGAGCTTCTGTCTGAATCCAGCCCATGAGAGCCTCCCCAATTGTAGGAAAATACACAGGGGAGACAAGGCTTGGCCGAAAGCATTACCTTCACGAGGAATACAGGCTTCTGCCAATCCCAGGAAAAGCAGAATCAGCAGCAACATTTTTAGAAATGGCTCTGATCTGTGCATAGTGGGGCTGGAATTTGGGCTGAATGTTCTCCTCTCAGGATAGTCAGGACTCTCTGCTCACCCACTGTCTTCCCAGACTCCAGGGACAAAATGAACTGCCCACACCTGCCCTCTAGCCTGCCTGGAGGCTGGCAGGTCTCCAGACCTGTGCCCACGCCACCAGCTGCTGACCAAAGAACCATATCTGCCTTTTCATCTTAAAGCAACATTTTAGAAGAGTTTCATACTGAGCGTGATGCTTGTCATCCTGTGATCTGCAGGCCAAATCCTGCCCTCCTCCTGTTTTTGTAGGGCCTATGAGCTAAAAGCAATTGTTATATTTTTTTTGCTATTTTCTTTTTTTTTTTTTAAGAGACTTTCAAAGCTACTGCAAATCAATTGTTATATTTTTTAATGGTTGGAGGGGAAAGACAAAAGGAAACATTTCATGACATGAAAATCATAGAGAATGTGAATTTCAGTGTCCATGAATAAAGTGTTATTGGAACACAACCATGCCACTTCACTATGTATTGTCTACAGCTGCTTTCAGCCTACGAGGCTGAGATTTGCAGTTGTGACAGAGTCCATCTGGGCTGAAAAGCCTAAAGTATTTACTGTCTGGCCCTTTATAGAAAAAGTTTGTGGGCCCTTGTCCTAGACATATTATAAATTTCAGAAAAACAACAAAGCAAGCAAACAACAGCTGTTGTATTTCTACCCAGAGGTAAGTATTATTTTTACATTTTTGTGTATATTCCTTCCCAAAGATGTCTGTATTTCTCTAGCACTTACTAGCTGTGCACCCTGAGCATGTTAACCACTGTGTGCCTCATTTCTTCATCTGTGAAATCAGGATAATGGTATTTTCAGTTTCATAGGGTTGTTGGAAAAATTGATTTCAGATATTTCAGATATTTGTATCTGTAAAGCACGTTGAACAAAATGCATATTATCTCTGTGGGTGTATCTATATTAAGAAAACAGGCCAGGTGCAGGGGCTCATGCCTATAATCCTAGTGCTTTGGGAGGCTGAGGCAGGAGGATCGCTTAAGCCCAGAAGTTCAAGGTTGCAATGAGCTATGATTGCAACACTGCACCCCAGCCCAGGTGACAGAGCGAGACTCTGTCTCAAATAAAAATGAACAAAAATAGCCAGGAGTGACGTCTTATCCCTGTAATCCCAGCATTTTGGAAGTCCAAAGCAAGAAAATCACTTGAGGCCAGGAGTTTGAGACTAGCCTAGGCAATATAGTGAGACCCTATGTCTACAAGAAATTAAACATTAGCTGGGCATGATGGCATGCACCTGTTGTCGCAGCTAATCGGGAGGCTGAGGTGGGAGGATTGCTTGAGACCAGTAATTGGAGGCCACAGTGAGCTACGATCATGCCACTGCACTCCAGCTTGGGTGACAGAGTGAGACTCTGTCTCTAAAAGAAATTTATTTTTTTTTTAATTTTTAAAAAAGAATACCATGTACAGTATGCATCTATCACATATATACATATGTCTAGTATATGCATATATGTGAGACCTAATAAATGAATGCATATCTTAAGGCATGATTATTTCATGCATAAAGAATTTAGGCTGCTTTATTTTTTAATTTCTTTACTTTTCAGCAGCAGAAAAATATAGACAAATAAAAAATAAAGACAAATACTTTATTATTTATGCATGGTATGTGCTAAACATTTCTCCAAGGCTTCAAATGTTTGTTAACTACAAAGTTAATAAACTGTATGATCAAAGAGATCATACAGTGTGTGACAATTTTGAAATTGGCTTTTTCCACTCAGCATAATGCCATTAAGATCTGTCCAAGCAGTGTGTGTTTAAATGCTTGTTCCTTTTTATTGATGAATATTCCATGGCATGGATATATCACAATTAATCATCTACCTATTGAGGAGCATGGTTGTTTCCAGATTTTGGCTATTGTAAATAAACTAGACCACTTACATTTAATATAATCATTGATATGCTCAAGTTTAAGAATACCACTTTGTATTTTATTTTCTGCTTTGTTCTTCTATTTTTCATTTCACTATTGTCTTTTTCCTGTCTTCTTGTGAAATTTTTAGAATTCTATATTTATCCATAGTGATTTTGAGTTTATTAGAGATTTTTAGTGGTTGCTCTCAGTATTAAGTTATGAATACACAACTTACCATCGTTAAACTGACTCATTTTAAAAACTTAACTAGATCCATGTCATAGGAGGCAGAAGAAAGACCTCCTAAAGATGTCCATATCCCAACACCCAAAACATATGAGTATAGTACCTTACATGGCAAAAAGGACTTTGCTTATGAGTAAACTAGGGATTCTGAGATGGGGATATTATCCTGAATTATCCTGTTGAATCCAATGTAACCATAAGAGTCCTTATAAGAAAAATAGAAACAAACACAGTCGAATCAGAGAAGAACATGTGATGACAGAAGCAGAATCAGAGAGAGAGACAGAGAGAAAAATCAGCCAGGCATGGTGGCAGGTGTCCATAATGCCAGCTAGTCAGGGGGCTGAAGCAGGGTAATTGCTTCAAACCTAGGAGGCGGAGGTTGCAGTGGCCCGAGATTGCACCACTGCACTCCAGCCTGGGTAACACAGCCAGACTCCAACTCAAGAAAAAAAAAAGAGAGAGACACAGAGAGAGAGATTTGAAAATGCTACATGACTGACTTTGAAGATGGAGGAAGGAGCCGTAAGCAGAATGCAGATAGCCTCTAGAAGCTGGAAAGGGCAAGGAAATGAATTATCCCCAAAAACGTCCAGAAAGAGCACAGCCCTGCCGATACCTTGACTTTAGGAGACTTCTGACCACTACAGCTGTATGATAGTAAATTTGTACTGTTGTAAACCATTAAGTTTGTAATGATTTTTCATAGCAGCCACAGGGAACTAATTCTTTCCACTGGTAATTCTTAGAGATTGCTTAGACAGTCAAGAGCTTTGGCTGTCAGTGGAGATAAGACCCATTATCCTTCTGGAATAAAGGCGGAGTGTAGTGAGCACTGGTCTGTCTCAGCTCTGAAGGCTTTTCTTTTTTTATTTTTACTTTTTGAGACAAGAGTCTTGCTCTGTCACCCAGGCTGGAGTGCAATAGTGCAATCTTGGCTCATTGGAACCTCTGCCTCCCAGGTTCAAGCGATTGTCCTGCCTCAGCCTCCCAAGTAGCTGGGAATACAGGTATTTTTTAGTAGAGACAGGGTTTCACCGTGTTAGCCAGGATGGTCTCCATCTCCTGACCTCATGATTCGCCCACCTCGGCCTCCAAAGTGCTGGGATTATAGGTGTGAACCACCACGCCCAGCCCTGAAGGATTCTATGGTACTTCCTTCAAGCCTGATAGAAACAGAGAATTGTGTGTGGTCTCCTGGAAGGAAAGAGTTCCAGGCATGGAGGGATGTCCACTCTTGCAGGGGACTCTCCTGCTGCCATCTCTCTGGTGCTGTCTATGTTGCAATCCCAACTATGAGCTGAACGATCTCATGTACATTAGGGGATACCTAAGCAATCCCTCAGACTAGGCTGGAGGGGAGAGCTCTTCCTGGCCATTTGCAATATTCCAGAGCTCCTCTCCTTTGTGAGCACAAAGTTCTGGGAACTCATCACTGGGAAAACATGGTACCGCAGGATTCATTACAGGAAGAAACAAAGGCGTGCAACATGTGAAGGGCTTTTCACGTCCTGTGCTACTCGGAAATCAACAAAGACCACCCGGTGAAAACAAGCAAAGGCTATTAATTCAGCGCTTGCTCTAACAAGGGAGTCAACCCACACCATTTGTGTCTGGCACAGACTCAAAGGCAGGCAGGGTAGTGGGAAAGCTTAGAGTGAAAGAAAGGGAAGGCTTCAAGAGTGCCTGATTGGAGGCCGTTGGCATACGGAGCAGTGGCTGATCAGAGGCCATTGTGATTGGTTGGGGGAGCATATTTGGATTTTTCTGCTTAGTCCAACATTTCGATTTTCCATCCTTCCTTAGCAGCCTGGTTACCAGCACAGCTGTTTCTTTGCTTCATCAAATATAATAATAGTCCCTAACTCATAACACTAGGGTTTAAATGCTGCAAATGCCTGGGAGGTGGAACAAAATTAATATTCTTTAGTATTATCCACTCTGTCAGACTGATTTGGGGACAGAGATGAATCAGATACTGGCCTTGCTCATGAAGAACTCACGCTTTAGGAAAGATCAGGATTTCTCAACACTAGCACAGCTGACATTTAGGACCAGATCATGTTTGTGGTGGGGGCTGTCTCAATGCTTTGTAGGGTGTTTAGCGATACCTCTGGTCCCTAGCCACCACACAGTAGCACCCACCCCGCACCAACCACCAACTCCACTGTGTTTTGGGAGCCGCAACGAAGAAGTGATGAGCTTTTGGTGCTTTTTTTTTTTTTTTTGAGACGGAGTCTCACTTTGTTGCCAGGCTGGAGCGCAGTGGCGCAATCTCAGTTCACTGCAGTGTCTGCCTCCTGGGTTCAAGCGATTCTTCTGCCGGAGCCTCAGCCCGTGCAACCATGCCTGGCTAATTTTTTTGTATTTTTAGTAGAGATGGGGTTTCCCCATGTTGGCAAGGATGGTCTCGATCTCTTGACCTAGTGATCTGCCCGCCTCGGCCTCCCAAAGTGCTGGGATTACACACATGAGCCACTGCTCCCAGCCCTACTTTATTTTAATTACACTTACTTAAGTTCAAGTTTATACAATTTAGTTTTGAGTACTGGGCTATGTTTAGCAAACAGCTAAGTTGAGGAAGTTTACCTCAACGTAAAAAGTTTTTAAATGTTGAAAACCAAAAACTTAACAATGGACCCTCATGATAAGCTGGTCCCAATACACCCGTGTAATATTATTTCGTGTGTTTTTACATTTCTTCTAAATGGTATTTTACTGAATCTTTCTTGCATAACTTGCTTTTTTTTTTTAAACCCAACATGATGTTTGTGAGATCCACGCCTATCTATGTGGAGCAGGGAAGTGGTGTTAGACCTGGAGATGGCAGAAAACC